GTCCCGTTGTTTTCTCCTCCAGATTGTTCATCCAGCCTGTCCTATCCAGACAGGCCTGCGGAGACAACATGCATTTTATGACATATTTTAAGGAAGTTTGGTGGCACAAGTGGTTAAGCACTCAGTTGCTTACCAAAAGGTTGGCATTTTAAAACTACCCAGCAGCTGTACAAGAGCAACACCTGGCAATCTGCTTCCATAAAGGTTACAGCCAAGAAAACCCCATGGGGCAGTTCTAGTCTGTCGCAGGGCATGGGGTCATGATGGGTGGGAGAACTGCTCAACCGCACAACAGAACATCATAAAGTATAGCATGTTTATCCTAAAATCACTGTTGAGCTATGATTCTGGTATCTCTTAAACTGATAGTAGTAGATTTTGTCTTTCCATGCCATATTTAAATGAACTTTCTTTTGTCTTTTAATTTCCTTCCCTTAAATGTTTTTCTCCTTCCACTGTGCTTAATTTTCAATTGTTCCAATTTTACTATTCTTTACCAGGTCAGTAAAATTAGCTTGGTGGATCTAGCAGGAAGTGAACGTGCTGATTCAACTGGTGCCAAGGGGACTCGATTAAAGGTATTGATTTTACCCATTAAATGGCCTAGTCAAGAAATGGTCTGTAACAGAGACTCAAAACCTGCAGCCTATGCCCCAGATCTGGCCCACTGTCTGCTTTTGTAAATAAAATGATATTGGGACACAACTCCGCCCATTATTTTAGATATTATGATGTCTGCTTATGCACTACAATGGCTGTATTGTAGACTGTTTGGTCTGCAAAACCTGAACTATTTACTGTCTGACACTTTATAGAAAGATATTGCTGATTTGTGATCGATAGCCAGTGAAAAGTTCATATAGCAGAATAACTAGGGAGGGTTTCATGGAGCCAGTGAGAATTAGATTTTGAGGGAAAGCCAGAATTCGGCTAGATAGAAGTTAGAGGCAGTACTAGAAGCAGGATACAAAAGATCCAGGTATGAGGACAAGCATGGAATTTTATAGCTTAACAAAATTGTACTGCGTGACAAAAGCAGAGATTATATGTTCCTGAGTTGTGAGAAAAGGTTATATCTTTAACTTTTCGAGCATAGCATTTTGAATATTCTTTAGGATTGTGAGTTAGGTATGTGGTCTTGGCGTGTCATCAAGTGAAGAGGAAAAATGGAGTATTAGAAAAGCTTGCTCTCTCTCTTACCAGGCTCCTAGCTGTGGCGGGGAGGGGAAGGTCTCCCTGCCCCACACGGGCACACATGCACCCTCTCTGGGACTACTTAGGGCCCACAGTCTCTCCTGCCCCCGTGCTCCTGTCCCTGGCTTTCCCGACCCCTCAGTTGCTGGGATTCCCCACACCCCCACCCACCCACCCAGAGTTCTGCACGTATGGGTGCTCTTTTCCACGTGGTTGTTCGGGCCCAGTTGTAAACCCTTTTGAGACTGTAAAACCTAAAACTTGTCTTGTCCTTCATAAAAACCCACTTGGATTACAAAAAAAAAAAGTTTGCTAAGAATTTGTGATCCTAATTAACAAAAAAATTATAGTATATGGTCAATTGTCATTTATGTTTATGTGACGATCATAGAAATTCTTTGGTTTTTACTTTTAGGAAGGAGCAAATATTAACAAGTCTCTCACAACTTTGGGCAAAGTCATTTCAGCCTTAGCAGAGGTGGTAAGTATAGTACATTATAAGAGAAATTATGTGTCTGTTCAGCAAATATACTTGATGATATTCTAGTTTCTCTTTGGCGGCTGCCTTTTTAGCCCTTTATGTACAGGCATACTTGGGGTTGCAAGTTCAGTTCCAGACCACTGTACTAAAGTGAATGTCACAGTACACCCAGTCACATGAAATTTTTGGCACCCCTGTGCATCTAAAAGTTATGCTTGCCCCAATAAAATGATTAAAAAAAAAATAAAAGTTATGCTTGTACTATACTGTAGTTTATTAGGGGGTGAAAGAGCATTATGAAAAAAATTTGAAATGTTGTAAGAGTTACCAAAATGTGACCCAGCGACCCAAAGTGAGCATCAGCTGTTGAAACATGGTGCACATCTGATGTGCGTCAGTGTTGCAGGCTTGCCCCCAGCTTCCGTTTAAAAGAGAAGAGGGGCCGACTACAGCACCTGTGAAGGGCAGTGAAATAAAGTACACCTGCATCTTGTCTTTCTGCCTCGAGAATCTCCCAGAAAAGACACCAGGCATAGCACACTGTGACTCTGTACTGAAAGTAAAAGCAAGTGGAGATCTGTGAAAGAGATCTATGATTCGGCTACTTTTTCAAACCTTTTTACATCTCTCTCTGAAAAACCATGTGCATACATTGTGTCAGTCCTGCTCAAAAGATGGGCAATTCAAACTCACCCAGAGGCTCCTCAGAAGACAGCCCTGGAGACGGGCTCTGAAGTCACAGCCCTGACAGTGCTCTAGAGCACTTGTACGGTGCAACTAACAGCAACAACAGTCATTGTATATTTTTCTACCTGTAATGATCTTTGTTAAATAAGATGCCTCTAGAGTGTTTTGAACAATTGACTTCGGGGCCAAATTATAGAAATATATTATTTTAAATAGCTTGTTCTTTCCTTTTATTCCTTAACAGTGGAACAATATAGCTGAAACAATGTTTGTGATAAAGGACTTCACTCTTTAGGTTAACAATTGAAGACATACTAGTGTGTACTTTGATTTAGTTTAATATCTCATTTGAGTCTATGAAAAGATTAAGTTCTCTCTTTTCTGTGGGAAATAATTTTTAAACAACTTTGTTCTATTTGGAGACTTAACCTGTGTATTGTTCTCTCTTAAATGCTTTCCTCTGTAGGATAACTGCACCAGCAAGGTACGGTGGGGCTTGGTAGAAGTGAACTAGCTGCAGAAGCAGCTGTCGTGGTTTTAAATCTTCAGGATATATGCAGACATGAATAGGAAAGGGACCTTCAAAACAAACAAACAAAACCCCTGGTTTTTTGTTTTCTGATTCTGGACTTTTGAATGACTGACTCAGGGTAACCATGAATCTTGAGACTTCACAGCAAAGTGAGTCTAGGGAACATGATGTGCTTTGGCAAAGGAATTCAGAATAAAGGAACAAGAGGAATTTTTGAGAAACTTGTTAGTTTCCCCTTAGTGATCTAATGATCCAGGAGATCTTAGACCTGAGCACACTTCTCTGTAAGGCACTCAAAGAGCAATGAAAGAAATTGTTTAAGGATACTATCCTAGAACACAGCTGGCTTTTTGAAATTATTACGAGAATTTTTTTAAACTTACTTGTTTCCTACCATGAAAAATCATAGATAATTTAAATTAAGAATTATTGTCTACTTCTCTATTAACATAAAGAAAAGGCTAAAGTCAAGCTAAACTTCTAACTGCACAAGGAATGCATTCCCTGCATCCCTTTTTACTCAAATACTGTAGCTTTTTTTCCTTCAGGTTTTTTTCTGTACAGATATTCTAAACTGTATAAATACTCTTTTATACAAATAACAATGATTACTTAACAGTTGGCTCTCAGTGACATGAGAAAAATTGGGGATATAGGCAGTATTTGTATTAAAATAGTTTATGGTCATATTCCCAGATCAGAGTTTATCTGTTTAGTCTCCCTCCACAAAAATAAGTAGATGAAAGGTATTGTGTCATTTCTGTGCTTTTTAGAAGAACTCAGCCTTAGATTAGGAGATCTTTCTGCTACTCTATTGTGGTATTATCCATATGTAAACATATTCTTCAGGTATCTTAGAGACCAGAACCTTCATGAGGACTGTTAAAACTTAATTACCATTGTTCATCTATTATTATTAATTTCAAACACAGGAAGATTTTATAAAGTATTTATGTATTTCCCCCACTGCTCTATGTCATAATAATTCACAAATGCATGGGCATGACTTTTGGTGAATTAAGATATTATTGTTTTTACACTAGGGAGAGAAACTTAACAGTATTTTCTAAGGAAGACTAAACTTAGTAAAACTTTTTATGTAACTGCTAAAGCTTTCATTTCCAAAAGGTGTATGGATGTGAGAACAAAAGGAGATTGTTTGTAGTACTATGTGCAGTCATTATAACTGGAACATTTTAATCCGTTCACCATTTTCTGTACTAACAAAGGACAAACATCTCATCAAAATACTTAAGGATTTTGAGGTGGAATGAAAATTAGTTCCACTAAGATGTGAGTAACTGAGAGAATTAATTCTCCTGAGAGGTCTGTGCGATTTTGAAATAGAGCCCACTATTGGAAATGACTCTAGTTGTG